ATTGAGTAAAGCAAAAAATAAGGAAAAGGTGAAGTTGTATGAAATTGAGCCTATGAAATATGAGGATTTGGATGAATTTGTGTTTAGTGGTTGGGTAAATTATAAGAAATTGTGATGATAAAAGAAATGATAGTTCAATCAAAGGAAATGATGCTCTAGTTGTATCAAGATTGACAATAGAAAATAGTGTCACATATATCTACGGTTATACGGGATCTTTGTTGCTTCTTAATTCCAATTTCGTTCACTTGGCTATACACACAGACAAGGGGTAATGTGCCAGATACTACCACCTTTTATTCGACACCTCAATTACTATAAGGGCGACCACATAGTGTATAATAAGAACGCTACTAAAGCCAAACTTAAAACGCTGCCTTTATTATTATTAGATCGCTTATATTTAAATACAAGATTATCGCCAGATATATTATTACCCGGGTTACACGCATTAGACTATCACTAGATTAGACTTTAAATTAATTTCATATAAATCCGTATCATACCACTTATGCAAATCCTGATCCAAATCAAACCCGACACCACGAAATTACAGGGTACTGAATTACAGCATGACAGGAGCTAGACCCCCTGAAACTTCGTCTCTGAAGTTTCTACCCTTGTAAAATTTCAAACTACTAACACAAAATATCCTATTTGCAATGCCCTACACAACTACCTATATACTAATAATGCAATATATTTTTCAATTAGTATATACATACACAAAATTTTATTTATTTATTTTTTTTTTCATCACACCCTAACATCCAATCTCCCGATTTTTCTCATTTCAAGACAACTCCCAAAAATCGCACTCTTCAAATGTTCATGATCGCACCCAGCCAACTGTTCCAAATACAGGTGTTTAAAGAATTCGACCTTCCCAATGCTACCTAACATGAATTGTCTTTCTTTTGAGACTATACTATTGATGTTATTAGATATCCTTCAGACATTTGACATGCTGGGCCTCACTTTTCCACTATTGGATCCATTATCACACACTTGGGTCCATCGTCCTGAATTAGGTAAGCTCACATGATTCTTTATAACCAACATTCCCTTTCTCATTTCTGGACTTCGCTCATATACAGGACCAACCTTGGTTCCATTATCTAAGCCAAATCCCCATGTTTTATCCACATCGGCAGCCTTTTGATAATATAGAAGTGCTTTATATTCATCAATTTCAACTTCTATTCCATCCTTATCACAATGTTTAACACCATGTATTCCATCGGCATTTCCCATATTAGCAGACTTTTATAATAGTTGGATGCCTTCTTTTCGTTAGTAGCTTTTTCAGCTTCGATCTCTTTTCGGCAACAATGTTCCAAATCACATGTTCTATTAGCGAGAATCATCTCATCGGATTTTTAACAATGAATAAATGGCTTATGTTCATTCTTTTCGGCATCAACTCCCTTTCATAACAAGGTCTGACAGCACATTTTCCATCAGCATCGTCTATGTCAGAAGATTTTTGATAATGGATGAATGTCTCATGTTCATTCTTATCAATTCCAATTCCATATTAGTAACACAGAGCTCGTCTTGTGCTCTTGGATCACATTCAGCATCCTCAACAGATCTTTAGTAGTTAATGAATCTTCCTGTTCGTCGAGAGTTCTGTCTCTATTATATTTCTCTATTTCTAATGCTTTTTTGATAATGAAAAAATGCCAATTTTATATCTTTTTTAACCCCCTCTCATAATTGATAACGATTTGCGATGCTATTTATTCCAGTAACATGTCTCGTCTCTGCTGATTTTTTAAAAATAAATAAATGCCTTATGTTCGTCTTTTTTAACTCCTAATCACAATTTCCGGCATTATATGTTCCATAAACATTCCCCATCTCTGCTGATTTTTGATAATAGATGAATGCTTCATTTTCATTCATTTCAACTCCAATTCCATTTCGGTAACAATATCCGACATCATTTATTGCAACTGCATATTCCATGTCTGCAAATTTTTTATAGTATTCAAAAGCCTTACGTCGTCTTTCTCGACATCGATGCCATTATGGTATTTCCATCCGTTTTCGCAAAGTTCTGTGCCCGTTGAGCTCATGATTAAAACACAAGATAAAAATTTATATTTTGGCTTGACGCCATTGCCTTATTAATCGCATATATGTTGTATATATGTACGTACGTACGTACGTAGAAATTTAAAATTCATGTTGTTGTTAAGGTTAGTTTTCGTATTAGGGTTAAATTAACAAGAAAATATGATACCTCCTGTTCGGATTATTATTGGATGCACGTGGATAGATGATCCGGGGTAGATCGAATCCAATTTAGGATGATCGACGTAATGATTAGTAATAAGGTTGTCATTTACGAAGTTAAATAGTGCAAGACAATAAGGCTATATAAGGGTCTTCATTGTTTAATAGTTTATTAGTAATACTAATTTGTAGTTAATAGGAATATTGGTGATGTAAGTGCACATGATTTTTAAATAAATAAGAGGTTTGATCTGGCAGTCGAATCTCAACTTCTATTATTTGTTCTTAAAGTAAAAACTACAAAAGCCTAACTGGTAACGCAGCATGCCTTGTAAATGAAGGTTGGAGTCATTGCAAATTAAAGGGGGCAAGGTGGTAGTACTGAAGTGAACGTAGTGAAGCCGCGAGTATATAATCAAATGAACCAAGCCATTTGGGCCAGAATTTAGAGAAATATATACTTTAATTAATCCCCATTACATAGAAGAACCTGGGCAAGCCACCATCTCTTGTAACGAATGAAATTGGTGATGCCATAATGAATGAAATTGGTGATGCTGTAATGTACAAAATTGGTGACACCATAATAAACGAAATTGGTGATGACATAATAAACAAATTTTGTGAGACTGTGACCAGCGTAATTTACAAAAGTGTAATAAAAAAAAAAACTTTGGTTAATAGTACGGAAAGGACAAATTAACATAAGTGAAGTGAAACATACCTACCTAGGACTGTATCTACCTCAGCAAATCAATGGGAAGCAAAGATCAGATTGTGTCTATATATCATGATGCTGAAGTTGACGATATAGAGAACTTCTCTTTGATTTCGAAGGCTATAAAAAGCCAAAAAGTACGATGAGGACACCCTATGCTTGATAGTGCATATGCACATGCCTGAAAATATAAAGACATGGGTTAGGGTCTGATACAAACTAAGAAAATCTGGCAAGACCTGAAAATGACCATTGTGAAGAAGTTAAAGGTTGAAAACGAGACAGAAGTAAAGATCAATCAATTGAAATGCCTCAAGCAAGATGAAAAAGAATTGATAAGGGAATATACTAACCAGTATGAAGCATATGCACAAATTGTAAAGAATCAACTTAGAAGTGACAAGAAATGTGACTGATATATTTACGATCTAAAGAAGCCATATAAGTCAAAGGCTGAAAGTCGCTGCTTTAAAAATTATAAAAAAGTAAAAAAAAAGCATTAGAAATAGAGAAATATAATAGAGACAGAACTCTCAACGAACACAAAGAATCAAATATATCTGAAGAAATCCTATATACAAGTAAGATGGATGTAGATCTTGATAGCATTGTAAGTGGACTTGCAGCACTGAGTATTAACTGGGTCAAACGTGAAGAAAAGTTGAACCAATCTGATATTGAAAATATGATTTAAAGTGTAGTGGCAAAGTTCATGAAGGATCTAAGTAAGAAACAAACTTCACAGAAAACTGTTAGACCCCGTATATGTTACCTATATGGCCAGGAAGACCATATTGTGAAGAATTGTACAAACTGAAATGAAAGTTAAAGTCAAACTGATTAGGGCATAATGTTTAATAATACTGATATATACTAGTAGAATTCACTAAAAAAGGTCCCATGATTAGTGGTTAATACTTGAAAGTAGAATTATTAGATGAAGATGCATATGGCAATATAAGGATGTTTGGTAAAAGAAAAAGAAATGATGATGCAATCGAAGCTGTAAAACCGTTAGTGAAAAGAGGAAAAATTTAAGATTCAAGACTGATGAATGAAAAAGCAAGTTTATATAATAATGTGATATATATACCTTTCACTGAACTCTTCAATGAACTTGACCTACTAAAAAAATTATCAGATATGGATGTGACTCTTACTCTAGAATAGCTGTTTAAGTAGTTGCTCAAGGCATGTTCAGAAGTAATGAAGGCTCTAACTTGATGAAAAAGAGAAAGTATTGATGACCAACATGTAAAAATTAGGATCATACATGGCATGTTAAAGGATAATAGATCAAAGCTGTATAAAGTTGTACCCATATGGATGGTTAAAATTAATAGTAACTCAGTAAAGACCTTAATCGATCTAGGATCCTATATAAACTTCATGTTGAAGAGATATACCGTAAGAAGAGGATTAAAATAAGAAAAAATATGTGTAAAGGTCGAATGGCTGATAATAGAGTTAGTAAATTTGTGGGCTATATACCTGATGTGGAAGTTGAAATGAAAGGTGTTGTAGTCCATCAAGGCTTCTATGTAATAGAAATAGCCAGCTTTGATGTTTTGTTAGGTATACCATATAATGCTAGGGCACAATGCACCTTGGGATTCAAAGGTACTGAATATTGATGCACTATATCTTCTCCTATAAGAACCGCTTCTTTTGTGATATCAACAGTATCTAGAAGTTGGATAGGAGAAATCTAAACCAATAATTATAATGACATTGATTGTGATGTTGAAAGTTATTATAAAGACAACATGGATGATGTGATAGCAGTGAGAAGAATCGAAGAGGAATATCTAGGTGTAAAGAATAACAATAGTTGAACATTAAATATATTGAGTAAAGCAAAAAATAAGGAAAAGGTGAAGTTGTATGAAATTGAGCCTATGAAATATGAGGATTTGGATGAAT